CTATTAATGGCAGGACAGGCTGACAGCACATAGTTTCTCCTGCGACGTGATGGAAGGAGCGCAGGATGGTTTCTGTGTGAGTCCCACCAAGAAAGCATAGCCTGAGTGTGAGCCCAAGGAAATACGGAATAGACCACACTTGGCCTGCACCATTTAAAGCTGCTGAGGATGGAAAACCACTACTGAGGGAGATTAAAGAGCCATAACTAGTAAATGCAACATGTCAGTCTGGACTAGGTTCTGGATCCAGATGGAAAAAAAGACATTGCTGCAATCATCAATCAAATTTGTCTGAGATGGTAATGATAGTGTTTATGCTATTGTTTTCCTAACTTGGATGGTTGAACTGTGATTATTTAGGGCAACAGTCTTACTTTTAGGGAAACACAAACAAAAGCATTTAGAAATGACAAAATACATATCCCATTTTCTCTCAAATGGTTCAGAAAAAAGTTGATTGTAAGGGAGGAAGGGTAATGAATCAAACGTGCAGCGTGAACTGCTATAGTAGGAGACACAGAAGTCCTCGCCTTTTAAACCTTTTAAAAAGGTATGTTTACTCATATGAGCTTGCTTGCATTTTCAGATCTGCCAGGTTGTATGTTTCTAACAACCACATGTCATCACCGAAAAGCACCCCTTCTGCCAATGGATGCCTCTTTAATCAATAAGGAACATGTCAAGCTCGTAACACTGAAAATGAAAAATACTTTATTTTTACTTTTCTTTTTACATTGTTTTAGCCCTTAGTGTGTGATGCCTTGGGGCTTCAGTTAGGGAATCCCAGAAAAGTCTGTGGGCCCTATTTCTGGTCCTATATGTCAATCACTACTACTTGAATTGTCTGGCTAAGGGAGACAACAACTGACCAAGGGGTCTTGATAGAGTCCTTCACCCTAAACTCAAACTGAAATAAACATTTAACTGTGCCATCAAACTCCCAGCCCATTAGGTCTATCTGATTTCCACTGATCAACATACAAAGTACCACGGCTACCTCCATCTCTTAAGGCTCTGGCTTCACTGCTGTGTACTCTCAGAAGCACAAGTAAGAAGATGACTAATTACTGACTGCTTCTTGAGTACCATATTCCTCCCAATTTCAAAAGAAAAACTGTCCCAATCATCTTAGAACAGATTCCTACCTCCTGCAGCTGGAGTCGAACCTTGGTGACTGCTCGGATCCAGTGTGCTCTGGCATGAGTGAAGGGTGAAGATGCATTCTCCTCATGAAGACTTGTAACAAAGGAAAGAATATTTCTTAAAAATAGTCCAGGCTACAAGGTGACAAACTCTCAAGGCAAGACTGCCAAATATCTAAAATAAAATGGTTTTTATTTGTGCCTACACATGTTTAGTGATTCAGGCCATTAAAACAGCACAGTCCTGGATACCTAAAGTGCAAACAGTTCCTCTCTAAAATGACAGCTCCTTTAGCTTTTCGTATGTTCCTATTCTTCCTTCTCTTGCATGTGCCCAGTAAAGCAGCTCACTGGAACAGTCTGAGGTCCTGACACTAGAAAAAAATCACAAAAACCCTGAGTCAATGAAAGCATAGAAACCACACACAGCTACAGGAGAAGGCTTTCAATACCTCTCATTTACCTTCCAAGACCAACAACCTACCTTGGGGGTTTTACACAGCTTCCTGAAGGCAATCTTTGCTCCTGCAAACCCTTCCTGCTACACTAAGTATTTTGGAAGTCTTACCAATTCCTAGACTACATAAAAAAGTGCCTTCTTGTCATGATCTTGTAGCCATCGCAGCAGACAACCTACACATGCGAAGTAGATGCTAGACTCTGACACTGTCTGCTAACTGGCTAAATTGTCTGAAAACAACTGTGGGCAGTTCTGGCCAGGGGAAAATGGGGCTTCACATGCACAGCTAGGACCTCAAGGTAAAGAAGGACAAGCACTCATTCAAGCACTTCTGCTTCTCTCCCCGAGCTCAGCCCTAACAGTAATCACTATCTGAGGCCCACAGCAGGTCAGCTGGTCAGTGGGTCATCAACCCAATGAAAGCTGGCCCAGGGCGAGGTCTCCCGCCTGCTCTCCCTGTTATAAAACCCCAGAGATAACTAAAAATTAAGATCAGGGAGGGAAAAAAGCAAGTCAGTTCATTTCTTCAGAAAGGTACATGATTTAGCCACTAATCCAGAGATGGATGAAAAGCACCAACCATTCCCTGACTGTTACCATGTAATCAGCAGTCACTATCCTTGGCGAGACTTTATTATCTATCAGACCTTGAGATTTGAGAATGTGAAGTTACACTCCAACTTTATAATTTTTCCCTAGCGGTTTTCAATTGAGGCAAATTTATCCGTGAAGGAAACTGACCATGTCTGATTTTTTTTTTAACCCTTTCTTTTTGAGATAGGGTCTCTCTATAGTTTGGGCTGGACTTGAACTCTATATGTTGCCCAAGCTGGCCTCAAACTCATGATTCTCCTGCCTTAGACTCCCAAGTAGCAGTCGTGTACCATTAAGTCCAGTTGGAAAGAGTTCTGGGAGTTGGTACTGGCACCAAGTGTAGAAACCAAGGATATTACTAAACACCCTATAATCCATAATTAGCTCCCCATAAGCATTATCACCCCCAAAACGGCAGTGCAAAGACAGAGATCTGCTATGTATCAACCTCTCTTCTACCCTAACCAATTTAGCTCAATAACAGTCACAACACTCAAACTCCATACTAAACTTCATTATAAGATTGCTAGAAGAGCAAGTTTTAAATCTGTCTTCTTAAGGATAGAAACTGCTAAATATACTAATGGGCCCTGGAGGGAGAAAAGAATGGGTTACATCCATCCTGTAAATCAGTTCTTTAACTCTGTTCTGATTCTTCTCAGCCCAGGTATAAAACAATGATGCTATAAAAGAAGTTAAAACACTGTGGGGAGGAATCCAGTCAAAGGGCTCAGAGCGTTTCACACCAGAGACTGTCCTGTGTGGGGTCAAGCAGCGCAGCTTCGAGCCAGGCGTAATAGCACACACCTGTAATCCCAGCATTCGGAAGGCTGAGACAGGACTGCTGGGAGTTGGAGGCCAGTGCAGGCCATACACTGAGTGAGATTATGGCTGGCCTGAATAACTATGTAATGAGACCCTGCCTCAAGGAAAAGAAAAAAAAGAAAAGAAAAGAAAAGAGAAGAGGAGAGGAGAGGAGAGGAGAGGAGAGGAGAGGAGAGGAGAGAAGAGAAGAGAAGAGAAGAGAAGAGAAGAGAAGAGAAGAGAAGAGAAGAGAAGAGAAGAGAGATCTGTGACTTAAGGGATCCTGGCACAATGCAGCTCACTAACTACAAAGGATCCAGGTATTCTTCAGAAGTCCCCCAAATACTTTGGAAATCATACCAAAATTCAAAAGAAGCAGTGTAGAGCTGAGAGTGGTTGTCTCGGCCCTTGCCACACCCAGCTTGACAGCAACAAATGCAGAGCACTTATATTCAGTAACACTGTAGAGCAGGGACTGAGGAAGCATGTAAGGTGTCACCTACCTCTCCTGGGGGCCTACGACACGGTCCTTGCATAGCACCAGGTCTGGGGGAGGGTGGGCTGCGGTGTCCTCTTTAGTCTCCTGAGGCTCACATGTTCTCCCTTTCTCCGCTTCACCTCTTGCCTCCAAGGCTTTCTCTTGTCCTTTGAAACTGGGCTGGCCATCTCTGCAGAGGCTGCCAGCGCTGCGGCAGGAATGAATTGAGTCCCGCTCATGACGGTCATCATCCAGCTCCTGATGCTGCTCTAGCTCACTCAGCTGAGAACTTCCTTGACTCACGTCACAGGAGGAGCCGTACCTACTACTGTTGGTGGGGCTGTGAGAACAGGAGGGAGGCAGCTCAGTAAACAGTGCAGAGACCAGGGCACAGCATGAATAAATCCAAGAGACAATTACTACAACAGAGCAATAATCACAGACAGGAGGCTCCTAGGAAAAGAGGACCAAACTTCACAGCCTAGAAAAATCCATGTCTATTTAGCAGAAACACAACAGGCACACACAACAGGCTGAATTCTCTAACAGCACTTAACCTCAGCCTTGTACCTAACTTCGAAGAATATCTTAATAAGCTACTTGTGAGTAGGGTTAAGAAATACTAAAATGGCCTATTGCTTATTCCTAAAATTCCCTATTTAGTCTCCTAAAGAAACTTATCCAGTGGCTATGATATTTTAATTTCCACGTAGTAAAATGGAATAAGTGAGCCCCACTCCCTTTTGCTTTTGGTTAATAAACTGAGGTCTTCATTTATTGCTCCACAACTGTAAATGTGTGTGTCTGTACCTCAGCACGAGGGAGGGAGAGTGTAATGTTCTTTCATGTATCTCTCAGTCATCTGTAGGAAGAAGTGATGGAAACTATTATGTCAGTGAACTAGCTACCAGGGCACTATTCCGTGTCTGTGTGTCAGTGTGGCTGTCTGTCTTTCTCTCAGCTTCTAACTAATCCTAACCCCTATGGACATGTCTGAGACAGAGATCATTTATACTGTGTAGTGCTTCTTCTCAGGGAAAATAACACTATTTTCTGCAGATGGACCTTGAGTAATGCTCCAGACTGAAGAACAGTAGCAAAGGGTAGTCCTGAGCTCCTGTGAGATCTTACTTAAAGCACTTACCAGACATTGGTCCCTGCTTTGTACTACACTTCAAATAGGGTCTAATAACTAACTGCTTTGAGTAATGTCACAAAGAATGTTACTTTGGAATGAAACTAGGATTGTCCTTTATTATAGTTCTTCTGAAGCACTGTGATACCCTGGGATTAGAGAGTGATACCACAGAAGTTATACAAATTCATGTGTAATAGGATACAGAATACAGATTACCCTTATTGCCACTGGAAGAAGCATCTTAGAAGACCTAGAAAACCAAAGCAAAGTAGGTTTCTCCCCCTCTACTGTAAGTTCGAAGTGTCTAAGGCCCAAGGAAGCATCCTATTCAATTATGCAGTTAAAATAAGCATACGCCACATAAATATTTGCTGCCTCTTCCTGTTTTGCATCCTCCATTCCTCATTATACAAGGAAAAACAAACCAGAATGATTAAATCTCATGGCCTAGCATTGCCCATAAGCAGGACACTCCTTGTTCCAACAAGAACTGAAAGGAGATGATGAAAATACCCACCCATAAATTAATTCTTATAATGTAACCCCTAATTAACATGAATGTTAAGTGCCAGGAAAGATATAATTGGGTAAAAAGCAACTAAGAAAATCTACTACTAAGCTATTTACATCATAAATGGTCAATTTCTTAAAGCCATTTATGATGCTTGAGTTGAGAACAGGCCTTTTGCTGGTCCCCGGGTCCTTGGCATCACTGAGAGCATCTGGTTGCTGTACATAGGAAACAGAATCAGCGCTAGCTGACACCACCTCAGGAACTTGCTTTTCTGGGTGGTGAAGTAGTTCAGAGGCAGTGCTGTGCTCCTCCTCAGGTTTTCCTGAAAGACAGGTAGAACTAGAGAGGCTGCCTTCTTTATTCCAATGTTCTCCAGATGCTGGGCTTTGCAGCTGGTCTTCCATTTCCCCAGGCTCTGAAAGCCACTGAGCACTTGGCCTTGCCTCCAGCTGCTCGGAAGCCACAGAGGGCTGAGTACCAGCCTCAGCTGGCTCAGCGCTGGTGCCAGGTATTTGAGAAGACTTCAAAGCTTTGTTAGCCCCATTGGAGTTCAGTTGCTGCTGCTCCTGGTTGCTGCTAATACTCAAAACTGGAGGGGAAGATTCTGTAGGCATCTGTTCAGGGTTTCCTTTGTTCTCTTTTGGCCATGGAAATGAAAGATCTAGTTTCCTTCCAAATCCTACCTTCAGATCACTTTCCGGTTTATTCCATTTCCCCTCACTACCTCCCTCAAATAGAGTTGATAACTTTTTAAAACTGGACATTAAATTAGTCTCTGCTGTTTTGTTGCCAGAGGAGGAAGGTGGGGAAAAGAAAGAGCTCAATGTCTTCCCATAGTCAGTAGTACAGGATGAGAAGGGCAATTTTGGCCACTTGGTCATGTTTGGGATCTCAAAGTGAGATCCTGGCCGCTCTGTTTCCTGAGAGACTGCAGGTGAATCTTTCTGGGCAGGAAGTGTCCCACAGCTTTCCTTGGTGCAAAGCACAAGTTGCTCTGATGGAGGGTGGGCAATGTACCCTTGAGTGTCCATTGTGGTACTCTCATAGACACTTGCCTCAGTAAACAGTGTGGTATTGGCTTCTAGTGAATTGGTTACACACAGTTCCAAAAAGTCTCTGTTTGTGGAGGCAGCTTGAATAGCTGGCTCTGGATCAAGAGGAGGAGGTGGCTGAGGTGGAAGAGGAAGCTCTTCAGCAGTCCCAGTGGAGTGTGGATGCAATCGTGTTGGCAGTAGGCTCTGCTCAGCTTCCAGTGATGCCTCTGTGTCTGTGCCCTGTAACAACCCCATGTCTCCTTCATCACTCAGAGACAATACCCCTTGCCTCATATCCTCTTCAGAAACAGAAGACAGAGCGACCATGTCAGAACCTTGGGGTCCTGGAATATTTTCAGGAATATTATCTTTTTCACCTTCAATTGTCAGTTTGGGGTCATCTATCAAGGTACCTGATTCTGATGTTATACTAATCACATTCATTCTATAATCACTGACAGGTGAGTCAGAATTGAGTCCTGAAGAGGCAGCTTCTCTACACAAACTTTCTGGAAGTACTGATTCTACAGAATCTCTGGAACAACTATTTTGAAGGCATGAAGTAGCTACAGATGGTTCTTTATATGTCTCTGATTTGGGACTTTTAAAAATTCTAAACAACTCACCTTTGAGAGGCTGAGGTGATGCCTTAGAAGAAAGAGAAAAGAAGGAGTTTTTCTTTGGAGATTTTGGAGTGGAGAAAATTCCAGAGAAAGCTTTAGGAGGTTCACTTAGACATTCAGAGAAAGATTTTACTTTGGTCACAAATCCTGAAAATATTTCTACTTTAGAGCTTAACACTGTTTTGTCTTCCTCTTTACCTGCATCTTGGTTCTGGAGGAGCCCTCCACCCTCTGAGTCTGCAGAAGCAGCAGCTGACTCTAGAATCCCCGGTGTGCCCTTATCAGGGGCTTCTTCCAATGGCAAGTTCAGTGGATCAGTAGGAAAGCTTTCATTCTGATGTTTAGTACAAGCATCTAAATTGTTTAACTCTTTGTTCAAATGGTTATCATGAGAAAAAGAGTTGGCCAGTGAATCATGGGAAAAGGCTTTCTGGTTGGAAGCCTCTTCCTTATAGGGGGCTGCCCTGTAGTTCTCCAGGTCAGGGAAGAGTGTTTCAGCGTGCTCCTGAAATGCTGGTGAAGGAGGAACAACAGTGTTCTGCAACTGATTTATCTGGAAATCTACAGCTGTCTCTGGCTCATTACTGGAGCTCAGTGTTCCCTGAATTTTCTCTGCACTAAGTTCATCTGCAAGGGCAGTACCCTCACTGGTGTTATTTGTGGAAATGCAAGGGATCACCTGCTGTTCATGAGTTACTTCCTGGGCTGTGCTGTCTCTATGACTGCTACAAACTTTCCGAGTCACTGTGTCACCAGTGTCTACAAAAACACTTGGCTTCTTGCAGGGCTGAGAAGTCACTGGAGCAACAGTTGAAGGGCTTTGTTTTTCCCTAGGAGTTTGCTGTTTTTCATCCAGAAAGGCCAGGCTGAAGAAACTAAAAGTAGAGCTACTATGAGAAGTACCCTTCTTGACGCCTGAGGCAGCAGTGGTGAAAAAAGAGGGAAGTGTGAATCGCCCTTCTGCTTGTGACTTGATTCGGGGTAGGGCAGCAGAGGCTCTGTTCTCAGAATTTTCAGATCTAGTCAAAAAAGAAAATATACTCTTCCTGGTTGGCAGCTCTGGTTGAGATGAAGATGTCGCAGCAGCTGAAGAACTCTGGTCTTGGTTAGGAAGATGACTTTGTTCATTTTGTCCTCTGTTAAGAATATCAAAAAATGCTTTGTTATCCCTTGGAGCTTCAATGGCTGAAATGCCACTATTTTCTTTCGATGACTCTCTCGAAGACTCTCTGAGACTATCTGAGAAACAAAGGTTTGCTGACTGTTCAAGTAGGTAGTCTCTGAAAGGTTCCTCTTTTTGACTAAAATTATCACTCTGGATCTTCCCAGTTGATGGTTCTCTCCAATCACTGTCATCAATAGTAGTCTGTTTGTTGAGGCTTTTAATTTTAGCCTTTCCTTTGGAGAAAACTGGTTTAGAAGGAAAGCTTTCAATTTCCTGTGCTACTTCTACCGGACTTGACCTGACCTCATCCTTAGCAGTCACTGAAGAAACAGACACATTTTCAGTTGTTTGAACAGGAGATACACTGGTTTTAAAGAAATCTCCAAGAGTACCAAAAAAATTTGAAACAGTAGAAGATTCTTTCTTTTCTTGAGATGATGTCTTTTCATTTTTATCATCATTTTCCAAGTTTGATAACTCTTCTTTATTCACTTGGGTTTTAAAAATGTTGAAAAATCCAGATGACTGTTTTTCATTTGGCATCAGAGTCACTGAAGACACTTCTTCTTGACCAAAGAATTTCAGTGCGCTTTTAAATAATGTTCTCTCAGGCTGTTTAGAAGACTGGTCTTCAGAAAGCTCACAATTTTTATACTCATCCCTACTAAGCTGTGGTCCAAGAGGAGCTGAATCAGAGTCAGCTATAACGAATTTATCATCTTCCATATCTGGCTTAGTCTGAGGAGCTGTATGGCTAACCTGACAGCCAGAGTTTACCAAGCTCTGTCTTTTCACAGGAATGCTTCTATGCAAGGGGAATCTCTGCCTCACATTTTTAGTAAACTCTGTTTGCGCAACACTGGACATCGTCTTTCTTTCTGAATCTTTAAGACAACTTTCTTCCTCCTTTTGGGAATTACTCTGTAATTGCTTATTCAAGATTAATGATTCAAGACCATCATTTGTGAACTCTGCTAATTTTGACTGCTGATCTATTTTGTGCATGACCAAAGTCTCCAAAGATTCACTCTTACCAAAATTCAAAGTACTTTCAACCAAGGCACCCAAAACAGAAAATAATGGAGTCACTTTGTTCACTGATGATGTTTCTTCTGCCTGCTGTGAGCCTTCAGGCACATCTTGGGGATGAACCAAACAGGCAGCTTCTTCAGAGGATGACTGAAGCCAGTGGAAACTGGAAAGGTGAACTGATGAATCTTTAGCCACAGTCTGATTTTCATCTCTCTCTATAGTTTTGCCTCTGTTTAGGACAAGATTACCAATATTTTGAGGCTGCTTTCTGAGATCTAGTATATATTCAAGATCTTCAAAACCACAGGGCTTTTTTTTGAAAGACCTACAATCTCCTCTAAACTTTTGAGGATTATACCCCGAAAAATCTAATGGCTGATCCCTTTGGCCAAAACTTGACTCTTCAAGCACTTGTGAAAAACTGCCTAAATTCAAATACAATGGTCCTTGCCTTCTTGGTAATTCCATAGATAAATCAAGAGGGTCATCAATCGCTTCTTCTTTAACATACCAAAATAGTTCATCTTCCTTATCAAGTAATTTAGGGGCAGAATTAGTGCTGTCTTCTAACATAATACCTGACAGATCATTTGTCTGTAAATCATAATTCAAATACTCTTGATAAGAATAATCAGGTATAAATAAATATATATACTCCCCAGTAGAATCAGTGAGGAGAGAATAAATATACTGACCATCATGGAACATATAATATCCATAATCCCCATCTTCTGAGGGCCACCAGATTCCATTTTCAAGGCATGACAACCATTCCTGGTATTCATAATCAAAACTTGAAAAAATAACATTTTCATCCCTTTTTAATGGTCCTTGATCAACTGTGGAACATATGGTTTTCTCATAATTTGAAGAGTAACTCAAGTCAATGGGCAATTCTTCTAGTGAATTCTCAGTCTCATTAACTGGAAGACAACCAGAACTTCCATATAATGGGTGAGCTGCCCACACATAATCTCTTAATAAGCAATCTTCATTAAGTGCTAACTCGTTGGATGATTCATATTGTAAGTCACACCAAATGAGACTGCTTAGATTGGTTCTCCAATCCATAAAAGTTCCATTTTGATCCTTTTGGCAAAAAGATATTCCTGGGTTTTCTGAGTCAGGCCACAAAAAACTATCCTCTGAAGGAAATGTATTTTGATTCAACAAATAATAAATTGGCTGAAGTTTTCTGGAGTTTTTAGAGAAATCATTTATGTAAGTGTCCCACTCAAAACAGAAAGGACTGTTCACCTCTTCATATGCCTGGTAGCGGACTGGTTTATTGTAAATGTTAGTATTTAGTAGAGGTGAACTTGGTGTGTTTGAACTTTCATGTAGGTTTGCCTCAAAAATATGGTTTGGCATTGGCCTCTTAGCCATCGATTTCTTGAAGTGGCCCTGTTCAGCACTGGGAGCACAGTGAAATACTGCGTTCTCAGCAGAGGGACAATTCTTTTCACTTTCTTGGTTTTTCCCCATAGAAGGGTAGCAGTGATTATCAACCCAATCATGAGAGGGTGGTATGTTTTCTCTAGATAATGATGTGGAGCTACAAGTTTGCTTTTCAACCTGGTTCCTCTGGTTCTTAGAAGTAGCGCTTGGAGTAGCAAGGACCTCAGACAATGACAAATGCTTATTTTCATTAGCATTTTTTATGTCACCTGAAGATAGGAACTTTGTTTCATCTGGTTTACAATCACTTATACTGCTATTAGATTTCAGGTTAAATATTCCAGACAGTAATAAACTTGGGGTACTAGTCATGTGATGGGACTCCTCAGTTTTCAAATTTAATTGATTAGACAAGTTTTCAGAAGAAAATCTGTTAAACAGCCCAGAAAAGAGGCCTCCTTGGATTCTTTTTTTGAAAGTTTTATCTGTAACTTTGTCTTCATTAATGTCATTAACCAAAGTGGGTTTTGAAATAGTAGAAATAAACTCTGATGAAGAGTCTGATACTGTTGAAAATGTCGTTTGCCTAAGATTTTTACCTTCTCCTGAAAGATCTGAAGTTATATGTTCTTTGGTCACAACCACAGGGACACCTAAGGGCTCTCTTTCCCAATTTTCTACTGCTATGCAGTCACTTGGATTTAATTTCCTGACACTCTCAAGTTTCCCCAAATCATTAACAGCTAGGGCTGAATCACATTGTACTACATTAAGTTTGGCATCTTCAAGACAACATATTTGGCCATTCTTATTAAAGTCCTCCGTGTTGCCAGATTTCCCTAGATCATTACAAATATTTGTAACTGAAATAGATTTTATTGAACTAAGTTTGGCATTTTGGAGATAATTTATTTGGTCATTCTTATTAAATTCCCCTGTATTACTAAATTCCTCTAGATCATTATGAATATTTGGAACTGAACTAGATTTTATTGAACTAAGTTTGGCATCTTCATGGCAATTTCTATCAATCTCTGTATCAGGGGTTGCTGCTGAGCCATGAAAATGCTGGTCATTAACAAAGGTACAACTATCAGTGAAAGGAAATTTAAATGAAGGAAAAATGTGTCCTTTTTCTCTTAAATCCGGCTGTGTTTCAGAATGACTAAGAACTCTCAAAAATGGAATATGCAGTTTTCCACTAAACAAAAAGGAATGTCTATCTTTCTTACAGCCCTTTTCCCACCCATCTTCCTTGATATGGTCATTTTTCACAGATTCTGACGAAGTTTCCTTTGAACATGTCTCATTGGAGGGAGTGAACAAAAACTGGCTGAATGATTTTCTGAGGGGTTCGAGGAAATCATCATCACCAGGAATTTTGTTGTCCTCTACAGGCTTTAAGGAAACCTCTTTATTTGTGGTTCTACTGTCAGCTACACAAAGATGTCCTGAAGTATCTTCAGCACCAAGTTTTGGTGGATGAGACCAAGAAAGACTTAGATCTTCACAGGGTTTGCCTTCCAACAGAGTCTCACTATCATCTTTCTTCCTTGCATGACTAGGGGACTTGGAAGGTCCATTTTTCTCTTCAGAGAATGACAAATCTTCACTTGCTGGCATTTGAAACTTTCCTGTGGTTCCTCCATCACTCTTATTTAAGGCATTAATAATACTACTGTGATTGTCAAGGGTGTTGTCCCTTTGATTGGACTCTGAATCACACTCAACAAAGCTTTCCCTTCTTGGTGCCCTGCTCTGGTCCCCTTTTCTGGCTTCTTCTTTTTCTGAAAGAAGCTTCAGGGGATTTAGCATGCTAAAAACAGATTTTATAACTGAACTCTGAATCTGTGAGGCTGAGTTTTTTCCAGTTGTTTCTGTTGTGCCCTCAAAGTTTAAGCTGCCAATCTCATTGCCCACATGCTTACTCTCAGGAATTCTGCGGTGTCTTCTGATATCCTTACCATCCACTGTGTGAGGGGGTACCGAAGATTGCAGGGGAGGATCTTTCTCTGATACTGACATGGCTCTAGGTCTAGAGCTCAAATTAACTGACTCTGTTTGATTAAGAGGGTCTGTTTTCTCTGGAACTACATGAACCAGTTTTTCCACAGAGGTTGTGAGACGCTTTGTGCCTGAACCCACTTTTTCTGTAAGTGAGGTGAATAAAGAACCAACAGCACATTTTACCTCATTAAGTTCCGGGAAAGACATGGCCTTGGCCTTGTCATCCTTGCAAACAGACAAAGGTGGCATCTGACCCTCAGGCACTTTCTGTTCTGCATTATTGGATTTAACAGTACTTTCAGGTTTGTGTGCTTTTTTAGCTATTGAAACAGAACCAAATCTATTAATTTCCTCTTCCTTCTCTGCTAAATATACTGACACTGTTTCTACCAAACACTGAAGCTCATCCATTGTATCAACATAGTCTTCTTTGGGTTCTTCAATGGATGAAGAGGTGGTCTCTCTTGTGGAACACCCAGAAAGATCTCCAACTGTGTTTATATTACCATTCACCATTTGTAATGGCACTGATGGATCTGATACATAATATCTGTAAGCAAATTCTGCAACCTCATGACTCCTGGATGGATGCCACGTTTCCTGCTTTTCAGAAATGGGAGAGTCCACAAGTTCTTCAGAAGTACTACTGGTAGAATCTTCAAGACTATCTACTGGAGTAAAATTAGAGACATACTGATTTGGGCCAGGTGACTTTTCACAGTTCCTTAAACAACAGGGTAGATCACAATCATGACCTTTTAACTTAGTGGTCCACATGCCACTCTTAACCATAAATCCATTTTTGTAGGGGTGCAAAGCTGGGTATTTTTGTTTCCTCTTTTCAATGTGGCAACTGTAATGCTCACTATCAAGACAGACATCTTTGCAATTAGTCTTAGTGCTAGATTTATCACCATATTGTCTTCTTTCACTTTCTTCAAAATGACTCTGTAAGGGTTTCTCTTTTGTTCTATCTATTGTATAGTATTTCTGAGGATAGCTAGAGTGTACAGATGTTTCAAACACATGATCAAAATGAATGGCAGGGAAGAGTGCTGTTCGTTGGTTCCACATTGGTATCTCTTCCCAGTTATATTTTGGTTGTTCAGTTTTTGAAAGGGTTCTAACTTCTTTTATTGCTGCTTCCTTCAAGTTTATGTTATTATTTTCTACAAAGTCTTGTGATATTTTTCCCTCTACTTCCTCATATATATCTTCTTGTTCTTCAAAATCAACATGAGAAAAAGCTGAAATAATCCTAATTTTGTCATTTTTAGGCTTTGCACCTTGTCTGATGTAAGGGGTTAAAATTGGAGCAACAGCAAGACATAGAAAAAAGGAGAGACAAGGAAAAGAAAAAAAGGTGTAAGATTGAGCACCTATTAAATAAGAGGATTAAAATAATAAAACTGCCAATCTGATAAAAACAATATTCAGATTAAAAAATACAGAAAGGAAATCTGCATGTTCCTAGTATTATTTCATTGTAGTGAGTTTTTCCATATCAAAAAGGAGCAGCTTAGTAACAGTTTTTAAATCTTTCATTTGTTCCCATTTGTTATTGCTAGTTTTATTTTCTAAGACACACACAAAAATAAGCATTTTATCAATATCTAAGTATAGGGCTCTGAACAGTTTTCTTTTTGTTTTGTGTTTTCTTAGTACCAGGGATCAAATTCACAACCTTGTGCTTACCAGGCAACACCTATGCTGCTTAAAATTACATTTTAGGCTATATAGACATGGATATATCCAAACATATTTTTTAAAGAAAAAAAATTTCATTACAAAAATAACTGTTAACTATCAGAAGTATAACCTTTCTATGTTACCAAAACCAGAAAATTATTTACAGCACTGTAAACTATTCTTTGGGAAATCCAAAGGCTAGGCATATTGAGGATCATAGTAAAATGAATATTTTTCCCTGTAGTGATTACAGCAGTAGAAGCTACACACTTAACTTAAATCAACAAATACAGAACACAGCAGATCATTCTTTCACCAAGGTTAGATTGCCTGCTTCCTATATTTCTACATAAACAGTCTACATATTAGAAGTTTATCAACTCAACATATTCTTATAGATATAACATCCAAGTATAACATCCAAGTATAACATCCAAGTATAAGCATTTACTTAGTTAATGAAAAAAACAAGATCACGGGGCTAGGGATTTGGCTCAGCAGCATAAGCACCTGCCTTGTAAGCAGGCGGTCGTGAGTTTGATCCCTGGTACCGATAAAAAAAAAAAAAAAAAAGATCAAATTGGTCACTTAATCACCAAAAATCTTCCAAGGTAAGATTAATATTTTCTTAATTTCTCTCTTTTATGGCTTATGCACTCACAGATAGGGCTTTGGGGAGGTGGCTGGATAGTGGGTGTGTGATACTGTATTAAGGGTGTGATAACTACATTAATCCACTGATTGGTTTAGCATGGTTCTGGGTATGAATAATGGAAAGGCCCATTCTGGGTGTGGGTGGCACTAACCAATAGGTTTGCAGCCTGAATCAAGTAAAAAAAGTAGGGGTGTCTCAAAATAAAAAGTACAAGGGCTGGGAAAATAACTAAATCATAGAGCACCACTGGGATTGATCTTCCATACACCCCCCAAAAAAACTAATCTATTATAAAAGGCTTATTTAAATAGTCATTGTACAAAAGAGAGGAAAAGAAAGTGCTCTAAGCTATATAACTGCATGTATATTTAAGTGTATAAGATAGAATATGATATCACAGAGTTTTATCGGATCATTGAACAGAACTGTTTGCAGTATCATTGATGGAATGTCCACTTTACAAGCTTTAATTTTGTGACTTGAACAATTATTTCTAAGATGACAATATGTAATCCATTAACTAGTGATTTCCTACTGTTCATTTTTTTTCTGCAAATCTGTATAACTTGTACCCTTTCTCTGCTTTTTTTTTTCTTTTCTCCTTAAATAAAATTAAAAAAAAAAATAAAAGGCTTATTTAATTCTTTTGGTTCTCCTGCTGGCATGGCAAAATAATTGCTTTTAAATCCTGTTTCATATACTGATATAGAAAAGTTTAATTTATACGGAATAGCTAGAGAAAAATTAGGAGAAAAATTTTTAACTAAAAGTTTATCACTGATGCTTCTATAAGTGTTATTTATTATAGCAGTAACTCTGGAAATAATCAAAATTAAAAGTTAGAGATTAGGTAAATTACAATTTGTTTCAAATGGAAGAATATGTAGTTATTTAGGTTGATGTGCCATTTGTACTGCTGGCCAGCATGTTTTGTTTTGTTTTTTTAGTCTCAGTTGGTAGTGCAGACTGGCTGAGATACCACTACATAGCCCAGACTGTCTCCAACTCACAGCAACCCTCTTGCCTCTTCTTCCTGAGTACTGAAATTACAGGAGTGCACCACTACATCCGGCTCCTAGCCTGCACATTTAATGCTTGCAAAGGGAAAGAAGGGAAAGAAAGCCAAAAGAAAAATACTTCTTGCTAGTACTTTTCTTAAAGTAGAACAACAGAATCTAAAAAGGATGACAAGAAAGTAGAAATAAGACTATTAGACAAGATTAAGGGAATAAGGATGTAGGGGAAGAGGACAGAAGAGTGGGTAAATGGAAGGATGGATATAGTTAAATACATTGGAACTCCTTCCAAAAATGTGAAACTAGGAAAAAGGTTGGGGCATAGGAATGACGGGGGTATAAGTCATCAAAGGCAGGTGCACGTATGAATGTGCCAAATGAAACCCATTAACCTGCATAATCACTAAAAGGAATAACAGAAAATTTAAAACATTAAGAGCATGGGGCGGGGCAAGATGTAGAACAACACAAACTTAAATCAAAAGAGTAAGCCAGGCGTGGTGGTTCACGCCTGTAATCCCAGCACTTGGGAGGCTAAGGCAGGAGGATCATTGCAAATTCAAGGCGAGCCTGGGCTACAAAGTGAGCCCAAGGTCAGCCTGAACTGCATAATAAGACCCTGTCTCAAAAAGACCAAAAAAAAAAAATCAAAGAGTAAATCAGGTAAGCATCCATGCACCTGGTGGTATGTGCCTCACAGGGCTGAGGAAGAGGAATATGTAATTCCATGGTTCAAAGCCAGCCTGGGAAATGTAACAACACTTTGTCTAATTAAAAAAAAAAAAAAGTGTAGGAGTCTGGGAAGATGGCAGAACAGTAAGCAGCAGAATAAACAGCCTCTCTGAGCCCAGATGCTGGAATATAGCACCACAGGGAAGACAAGAAGGAAAGAAGTGGGTCCCCTCAACCCAGGAAGAAACTAAAGTGAGAATTGAAACCCACAGAGAGAATTTAAAAAAAGAAAAGAAAGAAAAACTTAAACAGAAGGTGGTAGCTGGCAGTGCTTTCACGGGAGCCGGTCCCACTGTGCAAGAAGCACTGTGCACGGTCACAGTGAAGCTGGTAGCTGGCAAGCCCAAACGCCTCATTGGGGAGACACAGTGGTGGAGGAGAGTGGTGGATCAGAGGACTGCACTGGCTGGTGATGAGTGTGGGGGACTCAGTCCTCCCATGGGAGTGGACGACTGGCCAGGTGCCACTTTGGAGTCAGGCAAGATAAGCCTGGAACCAGAAATGCAGCCAGCTTCATTCAGCCACTCCTAGCACAGAGCAGACCGGTGAGATTGCTTGGACTGAGTCCCGCCCCTTGGTGCAGTCAATAGCCAAGGCTGAGGTTTCCCTAACCAATCCCACCCAATTGGCACACATTAACTTGGTGAAGATGCCCAGTGGTTAACCAGCTTGTGAGGGAGGTGCCAGCCTGCCCTACTCCTGCTTATACACCAGAAGTCACCAGCAGATTGGGAAAAGCAGCAAACAGCAGAAATCCCTAGCCAGCATGCTTTAGGGTAATTATAACCAATACAGAAAGTGCTGGGGACCCCACTACCCACTTGTCTGGAAGAAACCAGGTACATGACAAGAGGAAGAAGCAAAAGGCAGTCTCTGGCCTCCAACCCAAACAGTACTGGTCCAGGAGAGGTAAACACAGAAGAGATTGGGAGTTGCAACACCTGCAGCTTTTGAAGCAACGGCAACTGAAATAAAGAAACAACTCCATGAAGCTATAAAAGAACTGAGAACAGAAATACTATCTCAGGTAAAAGAAGAAATGAGAAACAAACACAATAAAAGAACCGCTAAGCACCTCTAAAGAAGACATAGATGGAAGAATAGAGGAGCATAGAAAAAGGAGAGAAACCTTCAATGAAGAATACAAAAAAAAAATTAGAATACATGAAACAGATTCAAAGAGATTACCAGGAAATTAAAAACTCCATTGAAAGCTGGCGAAACTGCTTGAAAGAAACTAAAGACAGACTATCAAATCTTGAAGACAGGTTTGCATCTTGTGATCACAAAAGGAAAGATCTCTTTAAAAACGAACAAACAGGGGCTGGGGATTTAGCTCAGCGGCATAAGCACCTGCCTTGCAAGCAGGCGGTCGTGAGTTTGATCCCTGGTACCGATAAAAATGAAAAAGACAAAAAAAAAAAAAAAAAAAAAAAATGAACAAACAAACAAAAAAACAAGGAACCAAGAAGTAACAATACAAAGGCTAAAAGATGACAAGAGGAATTATAACTTAAGAATAAAAAATGAGAGTGAAGATGTAGGGGTAAACACAAATGAAATACAAAAGCTATTTACAGACATAATTGAAGAAAACTTCCCAAGTACAGGAAAAGAAAATGATATTCAGATAAATGAGGCACACAGAACTCCAGCCAGCTATAACCAAAACAGATCTACACCCAGACATATAATAATTAAGATTCCAGAAATTCAACACAAGAACAGACTATTAAAAGCTGTCAGAGAAAAGAAACAGATCACCTATAAAGGAAAACCTATCAGAATCATGACAGACTTCTCCACACTAACCATCAATCACGAGCTTCAAGTGAAGTATTTCAAGTCCTAAAAGAAAACAACTTCCAACCCAGATTGATGTACCCTGTAAAAGTATCTCTCAAAATTAATGGAAAAACAGGATGCTTCCATGACAAAGAGGAACCAATCAGCAAACCAACCCCACAAAAATACTGAAGGACATTCTAGGAAGAGAAAAAAGACCATGGTTTCAGGAACAGTGGCAGAGGGGGCTCACTGAACAGGGCAGACAATGGAATGAAGGGGAAAAGTAGACAATCAATGACAGAAAAACAGCATAGCAGAGATGAGGTAGAGAAGACTGGCCTTAATCTCTAACATGGATGGCCTTGATACACTAACAAAAAGAAACACAGCAGAGTGGATCAGGAGATAGGGTCCATCAATATGCTCTATTTAAGAAATATAATTAACCTGAAAGAGGGTTTACAGACTGAAAGTCAAAGATGAGAAAACAATGCTCTATGTGACAGGGAACCAGAAAAAAGCGGGGGTAGCTTGTCCATCAGCTGCAGATTGGTTAGAAAGCCATAACACTCTTATTTGTGGAAAACTACTCAGCTATAAAGAAAGAAAATCTTGAGGTTCTTGTACAGCTTGAGATACAGCTTGAGGTCACGCTCAGGGGTAAAAAGGTTCAGAACCACTTAGGTAAATAGCGGGTTGTCTCTCCAATCTAAAAACTAAAGGAGTTAGTGGGATGCAAAATGTACAACACACCCTGTGAAAGTGAAAGAGGAGGAATTATCTAAAAAAGGAAGGCAGTGGCCATTGTTAATCTTGTATCATGATTTGAAACTCATATTGCTTTCATCACTCTGTTTAGTTTGGTTTTATTCTTTTCCAGTTTGTCTACTTATACTAGATTTGATGGCATGGACAGCTATTCCAAAGATAGCAGGTTATACTACGGTAATCATTTTTTATTTCCTATTAACTTGATTTGAAGCCCTGTATTGCTTTCACTGTCTTGTTTTGACTGATTTTATTCTATTCTGTTTTGTTTAAGAGTATCAAGTCTGATGGGGCACAGGCAACTACTGTGAAGACAATAAGACTCACTATGATACCTTTTCTGGTTTGACTGTTGTCTTCTTTTGAAGTCCTATAATGTCTCCAATGTCTTGTTTTTATTGGTTTTGTTCTGTACTGTTTTATTTTATTATGCCTGATGATATGGCAATTCTTTTGAAGATAATAGAAGGCATTATGGTAACCATTATTGATCACCTTGTATTTTGTTTTCAAGTCACGTACTATGTCCATCCTTTTGTTTCAAGTGACTCCATTTTGTTTTGTCTCATTTAGTTTCATTCTCTTCAAAATAAAAAAAGTGTAAGCATTCAATTAATAAAGCATTAAGAAATAAGAGCAGGCACAAATTTCAGAAGGATTCTTAATGTGTTTAATTTTAGACTCCAAATAAAAACAGTACAAACTTTAACTGGGCATGATGGCACATGCCTGTAATTCTAGCACTTGGTAGGCTGAGGCAGGAGGATCCCCATAGATTTAAGGCCAGTCTAGGCTACAATGTGTGAATTCATGGCCAGCCTGAACTACACAGTGACATTCTCAAACAAAATGAAATACTGCAGTACAGTACAAACTTTATGCAGTATATGATGAGAGAATTTCACTGAAAGGGTTTTCAGAGGTAATAGTAAACTAGGACAGGATGTTGTTGTCCGGAAGGCAGATAGCCTTCAGAGGCTTAGGATCAAAACTCACCAGTGAAATAATTTGAGGTGGGAAAAATGAGATCATGCTATGGCTTGGTGATTTTTTTTTCTTTTTTTTTTTTTTTTTTTTTTTTTTTTGGTATGCCAGGGATCAAACTCATGACCTCACACTTGCCAGGCAGATGCTTACACCACTGAGCCAAAACCTTGGCTTGGTGAATTTTATAAATGATGGCACATTTTTATAATCCCAGCACTTGGGAAGCTGAGGGAGGAAGAGCACTGCAAGTTTTAGGTCAACCTGAGCTACATATTGAGATGATCGTGAACCACATATGACACCTTGTCTCAAAAAAACGAACAAGAAAGAGTAGTAAGATTCAGAATCTTCAATAAACATTGTGAAAGGGTAAGAAACTGCTCAAAGGGGAAAAAAAACACAGGGAAAAGGAGAAGGAAGGAAGAGAAAAGAAAAAAGATATAAATTTGTGTATATATATATATATATATATATATATTTACATATACATATACATATATATAAATATATACACAAATTTATATCTTTTAGCTTAAGATAGCTAAGATGAGTATGCTACTAACTCTGTTAGTTCTTGGAACAAAATGGTTAACATTCAAAGGATTAGATCAATTTTGCATGTATAAATCTGGTAATCTGAGTAACTCTTTTGAAGATAACTACGCAAAATAACAACCTTGGTTATGTTCCTATCACCTTGTTTTGAAAGACTATATTGTCATTATTTGGGGCTTTATTATTGCTCTTTATTATTGTTATTTATTTGTCGCTTTTGTTGCTTGTTTTTCTTGTATTTTGTTTGGTCTGGTTTGGTTTTTCCCTCTAATACAGAAAGAACAGATGTATGTGTATAGGCTCATACATGCCCAGAGCTTCTCCTAAAGAGTTTACAGGAATTGATTTTATTACATGTGGTGGTATGAACAGCTAATTTGAGGAAAATGAGATGCTATGGTAGTCATTGCTGATTTCCTATCATCTTGCTTTGAAGTCCAATGATGCTTTTATTCTTTGTTTTGATTGGTTTTAGTCTGTTTTCTATTATTTGATTTCAGGTATAGACAGCTAATTTGAAGAGAACAAGAGACATTCTGGCAGCCATTGTTAATTTTCCTATTGCCTGGTTTTGAAGGCCTATAATGCCTTCATTCTTTTGTTTTGATTGGTTTTATACTGTTTTGTTTTGTTTGAATTAATTGTGTGTGAAGCTATGGACAACTAGTTTGAAGAAAACTAATAGCCACTGTTGATTTCCTGTTGTCTTGTTTTGAAATCTGTGTCACTTACATTGTTTTATTCTGATCTGCTTTGTTTTGTTTTATTCTCTTTAAAATAAAAAATAAACAAACAAGCAAAACAAGTCTGAATTAAATTGCAGTGATTTTTAAAAAACTAATCTCCAAGAAATAAATGATTTAAGCAAAAAGAAAAAATCACCACATAAAACATTATTGGGGAAGTAAGATATGGATACAATATCAGGTATTACCCCAGATATTATTAATTACAAATGAGAAAGAGTAACTTTATACTAGAGTAATAAATATACATCAAATTTCTTAACCAAGACATCCAACTAAACATCACTAAATAATAAGATGAAGTATGTGTTTCCTGAATAGACTGAAGGAAACATTTCCCTATGTAGTGTTTTTGCCAAAACATTTAAATTGATTCTAGACAGGAAAAAACAATCAGAAAAAAAAAAAAAATAATCAAAAGACCAAGAAAAAAAGAAGATAAGACAAGAAAGGGAATTTTGCTAGATTAAAGAAGACTAAGAAAATAGGAAAATCAAATACAATGCCTTGTGATCCTGACAGGAGAGAAAGGTCTAGGCTGTAGCTCAGTAACACAGCGCTTGCCTGGCAAGAGTGAGGTACTGAGTTCAATCCAGATCCCCCCTCCCAAAAAAGGGAGAAAATACATTTTAAAAGGTTCTTTTTTTAGGAGTTACATGCTGAAGTACTTTCTGGAAAAGTAATGAGGTATCTTCAACTTACTGTCAAACTGCTCAGGAAAAAAACCTCGTGTACACACGAACATGATTACACATTATGGACAAAGGAATGTCAATACGGCAAAATGTTGATGCAACTGAATTCCAGGCTACAAGAATACGGCTATTCATATGGACAAAAACATGGGAATTCGTTACTATTTTTCCAGTGTGTTGTTTGTTTTAGTTTCCTGAGACAGGGTCTCATTGCACAAGTTAGGCTGGCCTTGAACTCTCTGTATAGCCAAGGATAGCCTTGAACTCATAATTCTCCTGCCTCAGCCTCTCACGTGCTGGGGTTACAGGCATGCACCACCATACCTGACTATTTCTCTTTACATTTAAAATACTTCTTCAAAACACTGGAAAATGGAGGAACACAAATTTAAATGTTTCCTTTAAATATTCCTTTAAATATTCACAAATATGGGACAACAGTCTATGAAAGGATACATAAGAAACAGTAATGAGGGGCTGGGAATTTAGCTCAGCAGCATAAGCGCCTGCCTTGAAAGCAGGCAGTCGTGAGTTCAATCCCTGGTACCGATAAAAATGAAAAAGACAAAAAAAAAAAAGAAACATCAATGAGAAGGTAACTAGGAGACAAGAGAACAGAGAAGAGGGAGAAAAGAGGTAGGGATAGGAAATCCTTTCATGTATGCTGTATATAACTTAAATTTTTTAACCACATAATGGTTAATATGCTTCATAAAATTAAATTAAAACCAAGTTCAAGCAAAAGTGCTAAATCTGTGATATATGATCTTACTGGTTTTTCATGAAGTTCCCAAGAAATAAAACAGGTAGGTATAATCAAACATGTAGTATCTGTGATTTCTATTTTTTAAATCTTGGTGAAAAGTGTATTTTAAAAAATCATTTAGCTGGGGGTCAGGGGAGCAGTTTGTTTTCAGCCATCTACCCCAGGTGAAAACATCATCACCAATTGAAAATCACTAATGGTAAAATACAAAGCACCATTCCCGGGGAAGAAGGGTGTGACGTTCAGAAGAGGACAAGACAAGGTAACTGCAGTTTGGCCACCTCGCTGTTGCTCTCCCACTAGCTCCTCATTCAAAAGCGCTGGGACCTGCATACTAGGCAAAGAAAGCGTTTTGTTCTCAGTACCCACCTGAGGGCCCGCCGCTGCTCTGGATAATCGAGGTCATAACTCTGCATGGAGTCATTGCAAGAGTCCCGGGAACTGCCCCGAAGCAGCAGCTGTGGTGGCAGCCGCGCGGGCACAGGGAACTGGTGTGCAGAAGCATTGGGCTGTGCAGTCGTGTGATAAGGAGGTGGGACGCTGTTGCTGGTCTCACTGCGATAGTCACTGTCTCTGTCATCCACGGCACTATCGGGGTCTTCAGAGGCTGCAGAGTAAGCACAGTCTAAGTACCCCAGGTTTACCTATTTCTTCGGAAACTCTTCTGTCTCTAATTTAGGTAGTCACAAGCCTGAACCTTGCGAACAAAAGCACACGAGACCTGTGACTTCAAAGCCACGTGCAGAGTGGTCTTGATTAATAACTCACTCTCCTTATCTAATGAGATCAGACACTTGATTTCAATTTAGAGCTGATTCCAAGTTGCATTTTTCCAACCCAGAATTCTCTGGAATTTGCCTCTTCAACTATCATAATCCTATGTTTTAAATGTCACAAATAAATTCTGGTTCTCTACTATCATCAAGGGGCAAGGGAGAACAGTTTTTCGCTATCTTAGAAAAAATTTTTTACTTAACGTTGGCCTGGCATTTTCAGATTTTAAAATGTATGCACCAAACCAAGCAAGCAGGTCCCACAGCAGAAGCTGGTCCCAGAAATAAAGAACGTTAAAGCCGAGGTTCAGGAGTCAGTCAGGGGTTTAAATGCAGCATCTCTGTCCTGCTGCAGTGTTAGGTTTCTAACAATTCCTGTCCACACCTCTCCTCTAGGCTCAGTATTCCCATCCAGAGTACGGGCTAAGAGAACCTACTTGTGGGATCCTGCCGACAATACCATGTTTACCAAATAGAAATCACTACAAGTTTACAAAGTTAGTTCTGCTATTTAGATAACTACTGAGTGGCTATACTCTTTGATGTTAACTAAAATGACCACTTCTGCAATTAAAAATGTGCAGGGAAAGCTGACATGGTTGCACATGCCTGTGATGCCAGTACTTGGAGGGCTGAGACAGTAAGATCACTGTGAGTTCTGTGAGTTCAAGGCCACCCTGCACTACAAATAAGATCTTGCCTTAAGGAAACAAAGTGCATCGAAAGCTCAGCCTAATGGTTATCGAGACCACTTCATACAGAAACAATATCGATTTCACACCTTGATTAGCAAGGCTACATGTGTCCTGTCTTACCGAGTTTCCATCTGGCTCACAAGGACAAGAGGAAACATTCACCATTCCCCAGCAGAGATGCATTCAGCAGAGGAGATATTTTTTTATATTAGTGATTTAAAAGATAATCGAGGTAACAGTGGGCAGCAAAGTTTTTGAAGACCTTAAAATCAGGCTTTTACAACTGCTCAGACAGGAATAAGGACTTATTCACACAGCAGAAATGGAAGAGTTAATGAACTAGGCGGGGGAAAAACCAAATGGACAGTGGTAGGATGGTTCATTTTCTATGTCATACAACCTAGTAGGTAATTGCTCTACAAGAGAGAGGGAGCACAAACATTTGGGTAAAGTCTGAGTACTGGTTTCGGATAACATCTGTGGGTACAGATGGGGAGTAGGATTTTATGAGCTGTCCCATTTGAGTTTACAGTAAGAAAGTGAGGCTGGTGGTACAGATTAGGAGATTTTTCCATATGAGTTTATTTCAATGAGAAAGAGACAGAGACAGACACAAAAAGAGAAAGAGATAGAGATAAAGACAGAGACAGAAACAGAGGAAAGGGAAGGGGAAGGGAGAGGATGGGGAGAAGAAGATGGGGAAAAGGAAGTGGAAAAGGAGAAGGAGAGAGAGAGAGAGGAAATATGAGTGGTTAAACACCAGGAGGGGGAAAAAGTCATTAAGAGAAAGAGGCTAAACTTCAAATGGTGAGACACAATTACTAGTAACACTTGCCAGTTAAAACCTGACCAGAATAACAGTGATGAAGGTTGAAAAAAAAAGCAAAAAAGGATGGAAAGCATTCTGATGACACTGATTTTATCCCTTGATGCATTAATAAGAAGAAAAAATCAAGAGACAAAACCAGTATGACCTTCGGACAATCTTTCTGAATCCACAGAAAGACCAAGTCTGAAGAAGTCAGTGCCGGACTATTCATGCATACAGATGAGGGGGCAGAGGAAACTTGGGGGACAAAACCAAAAGTCTTCATCAATTCCAGCAGGAAAAGTATTAGCACATAAGCCAGGGACCTGAGATTGCCTCTCCAGAGGCAAAATGATAGAAATCACATTGCCTTCGTGACCAGAGAGCGTAGCCAGTTAGAAGCAAGGGTCCAACGTAAGAAACTACTTGGATGGCTTTCTGCTTTCTCACTGTGGCTGACCGGTTATTGCTAAGCAATGCTTTGCTCTTTTTAGTTTGTTCAGCTAAGGGGAAGAATATATCATAACTTTCCTAAAGCCTAATAACATTTCTACACTAAAGAGAAGGATATACCTAGAAACAACGTGCACCTGGAAATAAGAGATTGAGAGAAGAGAAAATATGAAAGCAAAAATACCAAAAGGAAAGAAACACAAACAGAGGTGAGACAAAGGACAAAAAAACACACACAAAGAGAGGTAGAGAAAAATAAAGATCAGTTTTCTCTGTGTCACTCTCAACTTCCTTAGAAAGTAAGATTCCTGATACAAACAAGTCAAATTAGAAACTAAAATGAGAAATGAAGGGAAATGGATAACTTTTCAATTTAATAAAAGAACTGTGCTTTCGTTGTCAGTCACTATTTTCTACTGGGTCTACAACCCACCCCACAGTACTGTCAGCTAGGTGGTGAAACAACAGCTTTGCAGAGAAAATGAAGCCAGTTAGTGCAGATCTGGCTGCCAATCTCATAAGGAGGGACTGTGGGCTGGTTTAGGACTCCAAATTGAAAAGTTCCCTTGTACTCTACTTGAAACTATCTGGGAACATTTATACCTTCAAATATTAGGTGTCTACACACATAAGGCTAAGTATTAAAGATTCAAAGTGTAAGTCAACCTAAGAGGACAATGAAGTATTAACAGGAATACTGAGTAGTTATATAAAGAAGTTCCTGCATGACAGCATAAACTTCAGTGCTACACGAGTTAGAAGCAAGCTCTCTTCCTTATTGCATGAGTGGAGAAAACATCATGGAGGAGACACTTCTGAAGAACTGCATGTTTTCAGGAGGTGAAGACTGAAGGAGAGGGAATGAGTATGTTCTAGAATCTGGGTAAAAGCAATGACATTACTAAGGCACAAAGGTGGGTAAGGCTGTATTTTCTTAAATACATTTTGTTAGTTTACTTAGCATCTGCATAGAAGAATGTGAAAGAGAATAACAGAAATCAAACCTAGAAAAGTAGGTTGAGGAAAGGAATCTAACCTAGAGCAAAGATGGGCCTTCAAACATAAAAAGCACTCCAATGAAACTGAATGAAGCGTGAGCTTGCTGGTATACAGCACTTCTGGATCAGCTCCACTGGCTAACCTGTGCATGTAGATGCAACTTAATTGGCCAAGAAGAAATGAGAGACACTGTTTGGGGTTTTTTTTCATGGCAGGCTTTTCCCTCCTTCTTACCAATCTTACCTGAGCTCCCTAGGTTACTCTGGAACAGTTCTCTAACAGTAAAAATACTCAGAACCCAAGCTACAGGAGCTGCATACCTGGTGAGAACGTCAGTGGCAGGAGAAAACCTGGTCCTTCTCCGCCCGTGTCGCATCAGCCTGTCAGATGAGCGACACAGCTGGTACTGTCAGCCCAGAGTTGTGTGTTCTGACAAAAAGAACTGGTTGCCCACTAACTCCACGACAAAGGTAGTGTCCAGTTTAGATGGGCTGCTTCAAAGAAAGTCAAACCGTGTTTTCAGCCCTGTGTTTCTTTTACAATGGTTTTCGGTTGAAATGCCATTTTTGCTTTCCAAGACTAATACACCTGTGACAGTCATCTGTTCTGAAAACCTCACCCACACTAGTATTATTCATCCAGATCAAAATGCACACCAATCACCCTGCCTTTAGATCATCCCAGAATAAGCCTTCTTCTGGCCAAAAACCAATAAAAAATGTTTTACTACACTAGGGCTGATGATACTACTGGCCTCTGGGGAATAAAGATCAATGTCAGGATTAGGAATGGAATTTGGTTCTCTCTCTCTCTCTCTCTCTCTCTCTCTCTCTCTCTCTCTTTCTGTCACACACACACACACACACACACACACACACACACACAATTTGCTTCTAGAAACTGTCCTGGAAGGAAGGATTTCACTATATGTGATTGTCTCCTGACAAATGGAAGAGAAGAAGAGAATGGATTATATATGTTTGTATGCATGAATATCCACATTCATGGTTCAGAGGAATCACATCGAAAGGATGAAGAAAATGACACAGAATTTTAATTCTTACGTACTTTGCTGCTCTCCCCAGCCCAAATAGGTCCAGTGACCTAAGAAAACCACAAAGAAGTGACAGAAACAATTTTAGCAGAAATTCAAAGATCATTCCCTATCCACTAATTATTATGTGCCTTACTTTAGTTAAGCCTACCCTACTTGCATGCCATTAACTTTATGTAACAGTATCTGTCTTCTATAAAACATGAGGCAAATCTACAGAGTATTCTCGCTTTTTGCTGTTTACTAGAGAATCACAAAATAACATCATTGCTTCCATGCCATCTTAAACCTCCCAGTGGCCTAGATGTCTCAGAGAAGCATAATTTAGGGGTTCTCGTGCCTTTCCTGAGCCAAAAGAAGCAAAATTCTACCTCCTGCATCTAAGAAGTCCTTCCTTCGCACATATCTAATGAGTGCCAAAATGACCGTGCTTGGAGCCTCAAACCTCTTTTCCTCACATATTTGATAGACGAATAATCAATTACACTCTAGCTCAGTGACACATGCTACTAAACTAGCACCCCAAGAGACAGAAAAGGCCAACTGTTTTTGCCCTCTTCCAGTCAACATAACCCACATTTCTGCAACCAAAATGTGGGAATTTGACTCCATCTACAAAGCAAATCTCCAGCAGAAACCAATTGCACAATTGGTTCAATTCAATTCAATTCAACTCAACTCAACTCAATTCAATTCAATTCAATTCAGTGCTGATACAATCTACCCAGAGTCAGCACCAGATCCACAGTAAAGGGCTCAGTCCCATGAGACTTCTTCCAGGTCAGATGCCAATCCAAGTCCCAGGTTAGACTCGAACTTACAATCAACTGATTGTAAACTGAGACTCTCCTGATCGCCTCCTTGGGTTTGATTATTTGCTCAGATGACTCACAGGACTCAGGGAAATACTTTGTTCTTTCTGTTGTACCTGTCATTGGAAGGGCTACAAAGGATACAGACAAGCAGCAGGTGAGGAGATGACTAAATGCGGCCCTGCAGGGTCCTGAGCGTGGAGAAGCTCGTTACTCCCAGCACGTGGATGTGTTTTCCAGACTCCACACTTAGGGATTTTTATGAAGGCGCCATCACACAGGTATGATTTACCATCAACTCAAGCTCTAGCCCCTTTCTTCTTCCTGAAGAATGATAGGACAAAGAGCTACAAGCTTTTAGTCATGGCTCTGGTTTTTCTGATGACCCATCCATCTTGGAGCCTACCACGAATCATCTTAGAAGAACACATTCGTCTTGTTTTGTGTTTTGTTCTGTTTCTGAGACAGGGTCTCACTATATAGTGCATGAACCTGCTTATGTAGCCCAGGCTTCTAATTTTCTAGAGTTTCATATAAAAGGAATCACATAGTATGTCCTCTTTGTGGAAACCTGCTTATGTAGCCCATGCTGACCTCAAACTCACAGGGATCCACCTGCCTCAGCCTCCCAAGTGCTAGGATTACAGGTGTGTGCCACCATGCCCAGCACATATATTTATAATTACTGGTACAACCTGAACGCCCATCACAAAGTGAATGGGTAAACAAAATGTGGCATATCCACATAATAGAACACTACTTGGCAATAAAAAAGAACAAATTATTGATATACTTAATAAAATGAACAAATCTCAAAATCTTTATACCAAGTGGAAGCCAGTCAGAAAAAAAGAGTACATATGATATGTTTTAGTTTAGATCCAAAATATCCGACAAAAGTCTCCTATGTCCAGAGGCAGAGCTTCTGGAAGGTGATTGGATCACGAGTGAATGTACTCAATAAAACGAATCTCAAAACTGTTACTCTGGATGAAAAGCAGATACAAAGAGGAAATACTATGTGATTCCTTTTATATGAAACTCTAGAAAACTAAACAATCTATGCTACAAAAACACACAGGCTCTTTCTGCACTTTTTACCCTGCTTCTAGTGGAAAATGTAAGAAATCAGGAACAGTCACACTAAAATATAAGGTCTATAATTATCAAACAAAACAGTACTGGGCAACTGTTACATCGCCAATTAATAGCCCCGTGCTGTAATTTTTCTACGACACTGAAAGGAAAGAATATTTGAATCCCAGAGTCCAAGAAAACTGCCAGGCAATGACAGGCCTCACCTATCAATTACTGAATTGTAGTAATTACCTGGTGGCTCAGAAAGACATAACATTAAACATTAGAAATTATTCCCTTCTCTTTTCCTAGACAGATTAGATAGTATAAAGAACTTCTCTTTCTATGGAAAATAGTAGTAAAGAGCCTATAATTAAGAAAAGTACTTTGAAGCTAACACGAGGGAATAACAAAGAAAAGAAACAACCAATCTTACTTGTGCACATAGATATAAAAATCCAAAATGAAATGCAAATACAGTAATCAAACCTAATATGATAGTTAAAAAAGTAATTTACCATAATCAAGCAGGACACAGAATGGGAAAGATGATTAATAGAAATTAACACATTCATCATACTGGTCAATCAAAGGAAATACCCACAATGATTGGCTAAGCACTAACATTGAACAACTACTCCTTACTTTAATTTTTTATTATTTTTATTGGTGTATGTTTGTAGTACATAACGATTACATTCATCCTAGGTATCTACTTTTTTTTGTCATTTTTGAGACAGGGTTTTGCTATGCAGTTTAAGCTCTCCTTAAACTCACTTTGTAGCCCAAGTTGGCATCAAACTCACAGCAATCCTCCTGCCTCAGCCTCCCTAGTGCTTCTATTCCTTATTTTTAATGTAGAACTTCTCCTGACATATGACACAGAAAAGTACACAAATCATAATACTAAGCATTGCTCATAAAACTAAGCACACTCATATATCAATACACAGATCAAGAAAGAACATTACCAGCACTCCGCATACCTCTTTGTGCTCCTCTGTTATCACTACGAGCTTTGAACCAGCTGTTTTGTCTCTCTTCTCAGCAAGCCACATGGTAACACCCTCCTCTCCTCCAACCTTTGCTCAGTTCTCACCATCTCCTAGAGACCCCTACTCCATCATCTTACTTAGCGTCACAGTCCAACTCCAGCTCTAGTGTCACTACCATGGACCCTTTCCTTGGCCCATTTCTTAGAGCCCTGTGTAAGCTCATTATCCACGCTGTTCATTGGCCACCTGCTGCCACTCTCAGGACCTTCATTTGCTCTCTAATATAACTCTAGGATCTAAAACTCTAGAATCTACAACATAGGTGTCAAAATATTTATAGAAGGAAAAAGATGGGGACGGTAGTGCTAGAGCAGCTGGCTGTGAGAAAGCAACTTCCACTTCTTTGTTGGTTTGCCAGCACCTATAATCAGCATCAGTATCAACTGCTTTCACTAACACTAATGCACGGTGTAAAACTTGGCGTCATGGACAGAAGTCTGCACTCCATGTGCTGCCCTTGGCTGACACCACTACCCCTGCACTCTAAGGAGGAACCAGTAGACACTTCTGCTTCTGAGAGTCTTAGTCCTGGACTGGCGGTGGCAGAGCCTACAGACTGACGCTTCCCTTACTCCTCCATACCCAAATGGAGAAGACAGTAGGGCAGAATTTTCTAGGCAGTAAGAGATCCCCTGGCCAGGGTGTGTTTGGGATGGGGCATGTGTTTCATGACTTCTTTCTTTATATTTTCCAACTATCCTGCTGTGAATAGTCTCTCCCTTAATACAGCCCCGTTAACATCTTCGGTTATTCCTCAACTCATCTCTTCTGTTTGCCTTCCCAGACAGAGCCCATGGCGCTCCATGCCCTGCTGCTTTGCTGCATCAGCACTTCCCTGTTTCCATGGTGTGACTGAGAACAACATCAAAGACTGCCCAATATGAAGAAGTAAGCAGAAAGAAAGCTGGTGAGATCACCAGGGAGACTCCAGTTATTAAAAGCACAACAAAGGGAAGCAGCAGACAAGAACCGTAAAGGAAGGAAAGGCAGCTCAGGCAGACGGGCAATGACAGTGAATCGGTCACGGCACAGGAGCTGTTGCCTGTGGCTGTCTGCACTGTGCTTTCCACAAATATGATTTGTAGAAAGGCTGGTTATTCTTAAAAGCCAGGGAAGGATAAAGCACTCTCGTATTTTATTAGTTGGTGTGCAAACAGAATACCCCCCACAGTGGGGCATTTCACAATATCTTCAATGTTAACTGTCTATTAAACATAGAATGTTTTAACCCAGTAATCCCACTTCTATCTATTCAATCAACAGAGATACTCACACGTGTGAAAGTACGTATGTAAAATGATACCAATTTCAGCAGTATAACTGCAAATATTGGGAACAACTTAAATGTCCATTAGTAGCAGTTCCAATCCTGCTAGGTAAGCTGAAAATGTACACTTGAATACTGGCACCATCATCCATAGCAACACTATTCACCATACCCCATAGTTACAAAAAGAAAAACCTAAATGCCAGTCAATATAAATGGAGAAACAAAGTTTAGTACATCTACATAAAGTATTATTTGGTCATAAAACATAATCATGGTTTGATACATACTACAACATAAACTTTAAAAATGTCCATTAATAGGGACTGGTTTTCTATGTGTGTTTTTATATTTAAATGAAAAAAAGCAAAGCACAGAATACCTCATAATGGCATGCACTATTTGTGAGGGGGAAATATTGTATCAGTTTATAAATGTATGTATTCTAGAGAAATCCACAATAAATTAAAATCGTGGTTGTGAGCAGAAATTACATAGCTTAAAGGACAGAGATAAAAAATTGTTTTTCATAGTCAATTTTTATCTTGGGGAGCTTGAGCTGTAACACAGAGTTTGCTTGGTTTGCACAAGGCCCTAAGTTTAAGCTCCAGCAAGTAGAGCAAAAAAAAGTTTTTAATGAAAGCTGCATGTTTGTAACTTTTGAATTGTGCACCTCATGTACATGGTACTTTTCACAAATGGATATAAACATCTTACCTATGAAGTACAAACACCTACCACCTGCTCTTCTCGTCCTAGCTGCCTGTCGTGAGTGACTATTACTGTATGGACCAGATTCATGGCCAATCAATTACTTCAAAGGGAAAAATGGCCATCCA